GGGAAGTTGGGGGACGTTGGGCTTTGGGGTTGCTCAGGTTGAGCCTCCTCTGCACCGAGGCCCCCTCTGCCCCATGTTGTCTCGGCAGCCTCTCCTCTGTGTGCTGACACATGCAGCAGCCACGTGCAGGATCTCTCCTGCTCCCCAGCTCATGCCACACACAATCTTGCTCTGATTTTCAAGGCTCCAATAAAGCGTGTCAAAATGCATCAAAGGCTGAGCGCAGAAGTGAGGCAAATTGACTCTGTGGAGGATTTAGGGAATGGAGGGAGTAGGGATAACCCCCAAACCAAACAAGATCTGCAGGGAAGGTGACGCATGGCGGAGATGGCAGATGTGCAGCACAGCTGGAGGGACATGGAGCATCTCTGATTTGGCAGGAGAATGGGAAAACCTGGAAGTAGCACACGCATCCTCTGGAGATGTGGCTCGTAGGGACGTGTCTCCATCACCTCTGGGATGCAGGATTGTCTGGGATTGTGTGTGCTGGTACAGGCAGAGGCTGCAGACCCCACGGCTGTAAATTCTGGCTCTTGCATCAGTTCAGGGTGGGCTGCAGAGGGTCCTGCTGTCACCATGGGATGGGGTGTCCTGTTCTGTCTGTGGCTGGATGCCCTGCCCTGGGGAGAGCCTGCAGTGCAGAGCTGCCCTGGGCTGTCCCAGACCAGCCCTTTTCCTGGTGCTGGGACACTGCTGTGGCCTCCAGCACCCCAAGTGCTCTGGCTCCAGGGGATAAAAGCAGGAGGAGAACTGCACTCATGGAACAGGCTCAACCATCATGGTGCTGATAGTGCCAGGAGCTCGGGCACTTCAAAAGGCAGTTTTGCATTTCTTCAGATGCCTCAGCGTAAGCACAGTGACAGAGTTGCTGAAAGCACATTAATTATTAGTAAAGGCTTTTTTTTCTTTTTATCGCAAGACAAATTAAACAACAGAAGAAAACAGGAGGTGTTACACGAGATGTTAATCCACGGGAGAGTGACAGCAGCAAAAGGCACAAATAATTCATAACGTGAAAGTCAGGACATTTAATTTTTGGCTTCTTGTTTGCATTTGGCATTTGTGCACATGCTCAGTTGCCTCTTCTCTTGTGCTCCAATACAGAGGTTTTGGAACCTGTTAGTTCTGGAAAAGGTGAAACTTGGAATTAAAAAAACCCCCTCTGTCTCATTCATGTTTGCCATGTGCTCTGGAACTGTTGCTACCAGTCATGAATTTCCCATTATTAGAAAGCTTCTTTCCCTATTCACTGAGCTCATTGCTCAAAAAAGGGGGCAGTGAACTTGAGAATGGGGTGTGCAACAGTGAAAATAGAAGCGTCTTGCTGAGGGAGGATTGCTGGAGAGGGGATTACAGCAGCATTTATCAGAAATGTGATGGGAAGTGTTTGCTGCCAGTGCCAGCAGCTCGTGCTGCTGCTTTGAGAGCGGGACCTGAGGGCTGTGGCAGCAGAAAGGGCTGTGGCAGCAGAAAGGGCTGCAGCACTTGGCACCTACTGGAGCTCCAGCCTGGCCTGAGGTCCCGTTCTGCTGGGTCTGGATCCCAAAAGCACTTACTGGAGGGGCACTTCCACCACTGTGTGATGGGGGCACATGCAGCACCTGTCCCTGCCTGGTGGGGTTCAGCTGGTGCAAAGCATTTCCTCACGAAGGAATTTGGCTTTGCATGTGTCTCTGATGTCAGCTGTGGGTTGCTGTCCTCTGAAATTTAGTGCAACTTAGTTAGCACCTTCCTGGCCCTTGCCAAAAACTGGAGTCAGCCCCGTCAGATTGATTTCCACTGAGCTGTTCCAGTCACTGGAGCTGCTGAGGAGGATGGCAGCCACGTGGCACGAGGGGCTGCAGCCAAGGTTCCTGGGACACGGTGAGCGTGGCTGGAGATGCTGAGCTGACACGGGCAGAGGTCACGGAGCTGGAGCAGGGAGGGGGCTCAGCACTGGAGTGGGGCACACGAGGAGTGTGCCACTCCTGGAGGAGACAATAAACCCCCTGGAGGAGGCAAAGTGATCAGTGCTTGTGGTGGAGGCCCCGCCATGTCCCCACCCGAGTTCCAGACATTTACACCTCGGTGTGCAGACCGAGCACTTCTGCTCAGCACAGGGCTTGGAGTCCAGGTGACAAGGCTGCAAATCCCACGTTGTTCCTTCAACTCCCAGCAAAAGCAGCCTCTGACTGAGAGTGTTGAGAGACACGTCCCACGCTGCTCAGCACTTGTAGTTCCCCTCGAGTGTCCCTCCCAGCCGATGGCTCTCGGCAGGGACAGCCCTCCTTTGTGACAGACAGGCTGTGTGGGGAGGGCAGCGAGGGCTGGTCACTCCTGGAGCAGTTAGGCATGTGTGGGCAGGGAGAGTCACAGTGGAATTAAGTGATTAGAAATACATAAATATTAATTGCTTGTGAACTCCCTTTATGACACTTGCAGGCAGAAGAAGTTAATAAATCACTGCTGGGATTAACCCAAAGAACAGCAATGCAGAGTGTATCTGAGATGAGACAGCAGTGGGGAAGGGGAGCTTTTCTGGAGAGGAGGAAGCACCTTTTTAGGCCAGGTCCCAAAGCTGTTTTCTTTTTCCCAAAAAAAGTTTCGTGTCTGGAGTCCACCTCTACGGTGACCTCGCTGTGCCAGTCCCTTTGTAGGAACCAGACATTTGGTTCTTGCACGTAGCGGGGTCCCTGTGCAGATGATTTGTATGAATGGGTGCTGGTAGTGGACTGCTTGTGTGGAAATCTACCTTGCTAAGGTGAATCTGTTATTTTTTGTTAAAATTTAATTTTGCCCAGAGCAGTTATTGTTACCAGAGCTTTGTAATTATTTTTAATAGCCAAGCTTACATATGCTTGAATCCTTGCAGCGCTTTAGCCTAATATATTCATGCAAAAGCAGGAAGGAGGCTTTTCTTCTGTTTGTTCTCCCGTTCCTCCTAATCCCCATTCCCGTCTCCTCTGCCTTGCTGTCCTTTTCATCACAGTGAAAAAGCAAGGCCTGGGAAAAGCAGCAGTGAAGCCCTGCCAGGATGGGCAGGCGTGAGGACACCCAGCCCAGGGAGTCTGCCATCCTGCAGGCTCTGGCAGTGCCAGGCTCGCTGCCCTTCCCGTGGGCACAGGGAGCTTTCAGGGCAGCAGGACCTGCTCCTCCCCTGTGTGTGCAGTGCTCGAGGCCAAGCAGAGAGAGCTGGTCTCTGAACTGCACCGGGGCAGAAGGGTGGCCCTGTCTCTCCACTGCAGGTTCCATGGGAGTGAGGCAGCTTGGAGACAGCAGCAGGACCCGAATTGTGCTGCTCAACAGCCACATCATCAGCATAATCATCGTGTTTTCCTGGTGCTGAGCTGTGATATCGAGGGGAACGCACCCCACACCTGTATCAGAACTTACTGCTTAGAGAAACACCTGAGATCCTGGCTAAGCCTGTTCAGCCCCTGCTGCTACAGAGGGGGACAGATGATTCCATTTGACGAGGCAGAATAGACCTGGGCTCTGTTATCAGAGCACAGAGAGCTGGACTAATACAGAGAAGCTTTTGATTTACTCTGATTTTTGCAATGAGGGTTTGTACTGTGAGCATTCAGGCTGCATGCAAATGAGGGTGATGTTACCTGACTCTGGCTTGGTTGCTGGATTGAGGTTTAATGAGATTCTTTGGTTTGCCTTGTGTCAATCTGTTGTAGTTAAGTGAGATTTCTTCCCCCTACTGTGTGTTGCCTTTGATGCAATTTTGCAACACTTCTTGTACTCCTAAAAGGGCCTTTTGGTGTCTTTGAAAGTTTCTCAACGCAGCATCTCTCTGGACAGAGTAAATGAAGATGAAACCTCGGCAGACAGCAAGAGAAAACAAGCAAATGTCTTTGCAGAATCAAAATGCAAGGGCAGCAGTGGAGGAACTCTGAGGTTTGTGTCTTCTGTCTGGTGAACCAGAACACTTGGACAAACCTTTTCCTGGAGCTGGGGGCTGACTGGTCTCTCCAGGCTGGGAGTCTCTGGTCTCAACTCAGCTGCTAGTTTTCATGTAAAAACTAGGGGGATTGGGCACAGCCACCTCCAGCTCTGCTGTGCAGCCCAGCACTGACTAGCCTTTGTCTGCTAATGAGATCTCATTACCTGTTCATTTCCATATGGTTTTCCTTCCCAATCAGTGGAATAAACTCTATAAAAACTCTATTATCAGTCTTCATTATGCCCAGGTTTGTTATGATCATGAATTAATAGACTTTATCTTGGCATAAGTCAGAAGGCATCAGCCTCTCTTTTCCCTCTTAAATTACACAGGGATTAGTTTTAAATATTCTCTCTATGAAGCTGCTTCTGTTGTTTTCTGGCTCTGCTTGGGTTCAGTCTGTTTTAAGCCTCAGTGTTCCTGATATGCCTCTTCGTCCTGAGTTCAGAGGAAGAGGCTGTGAACAGAGGAGGAGCGTGTTCCTGTGAACCAGGCCACTCAGCAAGCTGGTTTTGTAGGTGCAAGTGTCCTCGTTGTAGGTGCAAGTGTCCCTGTTGTAGGTGCAAGTGTCCCCGTTGTAGGTGCAAGTGTCCCCGTTGTAGGTGCAAGTGTCCTCGTTGTAGGTGCAAGTGTCCCTGTTGTAGGTGCAAGTGTCCTCATTGGAAGTTCTGGGGAACACACAAGTACTTAAACAGCTGCTGGAGAACAGCCCAGCCCAGCAAATCACCTGAGCACTGTGCCATGCCTGTGGCTGAAGGTGTTGAGGGGTCGGGGGCTGCTTGGGCACAGGGGACACACCACTGGTCCCCAGCAGAGCCCAGGAACTGCCCAGGGCAAGGAACAAACACTTGGCACGAGCTGGTGGTGGATGAACCCGGGGACTCAGGATGGGAGATGCTGGGGACACGGTGCAGACCATCACATTTGTGTAATGTTGGTTCTGTCCCCTCCTGGTCACGAGAACTGCCCGGCCCAGGTGTCGCCTTGCTCTGCAGGACCCTCGTCAGGCCCGTCTGCCCACCCTCTGTAACTGATTGTGCTTCTTGTCTCTTCTCTCTGTCGTGAACAGATGAAATCCTCCGACATCGACCAGGAGCTGTTCACTGAGAGTTACTGCAAGGTGTGCAGTGCTCAGCTCATCTCCGAGTCCCAGCGCGTGGCCCATTACGAGGTAGGACGTTCTCGTCTGGCTGCGCTGTCGCAGTTCCGCTCGGAAAACTCGGGATTCGAAGAACTGTTTCTGCTGGTGGCGTCCCACTCTGCTGGTGATGTCACTGCAGCCGTGTCTGCTGCGTGTCTGGCTTTCCCTCCTGCCTAAATTTGCCAAGTCAGGCTGCGATTTAAGCAGGACTGAGGGAAACGCTGTTAGCAAGGAGAGCAATTAAGAGTGCAGCAAAACGAGCTCAGGTTGGATTAAATTTGCTGCACTGTGCTTTGCTGAGCAGGAATCACTGATTGTGCAGAGAATAGATTAGTATTTGTGAATGTGTTTAAGCACTTAAGAAGTGGCAAGTGATGAACAATTAGAAAGGATGGATTATTAGAGGTGCGTTAGAACAGCAATTGACAACACAGTGTATCTCCAAAACAAACTTAAATACGTTCCTGTTAAACAAGGAGGAAATTATTGGGGGGTATGCTGCTGTAAACCCTTCAGGAAAGGAAACCCACTGCCCCTCCGTGTGCCAGCACCTGCTCCCTGTGCCATGGGGAACGTGCTCCGAGCAGATCTGCAGCAGCCTGGTGTAGATCCTGCCACGGTGACGGGCTCTCACTGCTCACCCAGTGAGAGAACAGAGCTCTTCAGGTTCAGAGGCAGAGGAGCTGTAGGGTCACCGTGTGTGGGTGTGCATGAGGGGTCAGAGCACAGTCCATCTCCCCTTGCATGGCAGGAACTGTGCAGGGACTGTCCTCCCCTGGGGGTGTCAGGCCGAGGAGGGATGTGTGAGGTGGTCCAGCCTCCAGGAGAAGTGATGCGTGAACTGTGTTAACTTTGGGTATTTGTCATATATAACACATTGATAATACAGATATTTAGATAATGTGGAATAAATTGGTTGGATTTGATGGTCTTGGTGGTCTCCAACCCAAGCAATTCTGTGACTGTGTGTGAGGTGCCAGGGGATGAGGGACCCCTGTGCTCACAGTATTTTGCCCCTGCTTTTGGGCACTCGGTGTCTGCAGAGTTCCAACAGACGCGGAGTTTGTGCACAGGGACCTGGAAGATGAAGTTTGCTCTGACTCGAGTGTTCTGTAATGGATATACGGTGGAGACATTTGTGTGGCCAGTGGAGACGTCCGAGCAGCTCAGTGCAGGCGATCCGAGGATGCTGCGCTGCATTAATTAACAATGGGAACAAGAACACGCGTCTCCTTGTAAGGCACTTTACACGTCTGTTTTGGTGACTTCCTTAAGAGCTCTCCTGTAACTGCTCCTCTGGCTGCCCTCAGCACAGATCCCTGGCAGCTGCTGGGAAGTCGAAGGCTGAAGTTTTAGGGGCACCTTCCAGGTCTCGATGCCGGGCGCTGTGGGTGCCGAGTTTTGTCTCCAGCAGGCAGGAGCGTTGCTGCAGAAATGGGAGCAGCTCCTGGTGAGCCTCGGAGCGCTCAGCCAATCTCTTCTCCTCTGCGCCTGTCACCGTAGGTATGAGCTGAATCATTAATTCATAGCAGATGTTTTTGAAATGTGGAAAACAAGACGGTTTTCTGTTGTGTATTTTAGCGCGAGGTGTTGCGCTCGTTTGTCATCCCCGTGAAATCCCAGCAGACGCCGTAGACGTTCGGCACAATAATGTCATTCCCGAGCCTCGCCTGTGGGTTGCATAACCCAGAGCAGAGGGGTGGAGGGAGCGAGCTGGGGAGGCTGGGCAGGGTGGCCCAGACCCTGAGGGTGTCCCTGCCCCGGGGCTGTGCCGCGGCTGTTCTGGCCACCACTCCGGAGTGTGACATCGTCCTCCTGGCACCTCCCGGCCCCCCGAACCCACAGGCACAGCCAGAGGCTGAAAACCTTCCTGAAGGTGTCCCAGGGAGGTGGAGCTGGGTGCTCCATCCTGCCCGAGGCCAGCCCTTGCTGCGAGCCATTAATTAATGGCAGGAATGTGAAATTCACTGTTTCTTCCTAATTAACGAAGTAGCTGGTCACTATTTTCACACCTTATTTCCCCCCCCCCCCTTAATTTTAAGAAGTGTTCCATAGTTAAAAACTCATTCTTTTCATAGGGGAGATGTCAACTTCTCTGGACTTAAATTTTCTGCAAGTCCATTTTCAGGAGCCCCCCCAGGGTGGGCACCCTGCCTGTCCACGGGCACTGGGGACCCTCGGTGTCCGTGCAGCTGGGGGTGCTGGGGTTTGTTTTGGTCAGCATTGCCCTTACCCTTCCTGAGCCAGAGCCTGGAGAGAAAGGGGATTGATCCGCTGCCTCACTAGCGCAGTTGAGTGAGCTCTGCAGCCCTTGTGCCAGGGACTGGAATCTTGGCTCTCTGTGCATGCAAAATAAGACATTTCTCTGTAAGAAAATAGAGGGAAACAGCCTATGAAAGGGGGATGTTTTTATCTTGCCAAACAGGAATAGTCAATTCCAATCGCTGTCTCGTCTCCTTCTCCAAATCACCAACCAATAATTCTCTTCTTCTGTGCTACTTTGCCAGGATTAAAAAATAATTTTATGTCAGTCACGCAGTATTAAGCGATATTATTTCCAAGGGCAAGTGCAGTGGAAAAATGACAAAAGGATCGGGGTGTGTGCAGCATATTTTTGCTTCCAACTTGACATACAGCAAATACTGCCCTTATTTCATGTGCTCTGTGCAACTGCGTTTCTGGCTTGGGCTGCTGTGTCTGCCGTGCCCTGGCTTTCCTTGCCAGTCCTGCCCTCCTCCCCAGGGTTCAGCCCAGGACAGAGCTGAGCCCAGGAGCTGCTTTGGGATATTGGCTTGTGCTGACGTTCCCAAGTGAGGGAGCGCCGTAAGGAGCTCCGTGCCCGCTGTGCTGCTGAGGGTCTCGGGGTGGGGGTTGATGCTGGGCAGCTTTTGTGCAGCTGTAAGAGATGAGACAAATCTCATCTCTGGTTGGTGTCTGTGCCTGGAAGAGCATCGGGGTATTTCACACCTTCTCGTGGCCTCCTGTCAGTGTTGCTGTGCTTGCTGCAATGCCACTGAGGGTCTGTGCCCCAGAGATGGATTTTTTTCTTTTCTGTATCTCTGCATCTCGTCTCCCTCTGGAACCCGAAGCCTCTTTGCTGCTGAATCCTCTCAGGATCACCCGTAAATTAACACTTCCTTCCAGCTCTGTCTTGGAGAGAGGTTGTATCACTCTGGTGAGCTGCTCTGTAAATTAAAAAGCTAAAAAAAAAAAGAGCTAAGGTTTCTTAGTTAGCTGCTTGTCCTCATCTCTGTATAGAAGTGTTCACAGCCATTAGGAAGATGTTACGATTTATTTTCATGTTTCCCCTTGAAAATCCTGCAGGAAAATTACCTCATATGCAAAGTTGCTCTCAGATTTCACCCAGAGCTGCACATTCATCACCACATTTGCTCTTCAAGCTGCTATAATGCTTTCCTCCATTGTAATCTTTATTGCTTCGGGTGTTCAGGTGGTGCTTTGCTTTGCCATTTAAAATGAAGGAAGATGCCGGGTCTGGAGGAAGAGCAGCCCGGGAAGGTGCTGTGCAAGTGTCAGCTCACCTCCTGAGATGAGAGAATGATGCCTGAACGCTCCTGGTGGAGCAGCAGGGGAGGGCAGAGGCAAATCATATTGAAATTCAAATGCCCAGGAAACTGGGGAGAACAACTGAAGTGCCGTGCCCTTTGGCTCCTCTCCGAGCTGAGTGCTCTCTGGTGCTCTCTGGAATCTCTCCCTGTGTCTCGGGAGCGGAGCAGGCAGCGCTATCGACCGCCCCATCAATACTGCTGGTCTGCGTGGGCTGGAGCAGAGCTGGGGTTAATCTGCTTCCAGTTGGGCTGTCCTTGGCTGGAAACGGCGTGAAGAGATGGCTTGTCTGAAGGAATAATAAACATTGTTTACTATTGGCACATTAGTGCCTTAAGGATCAAGATGTGTGTGCTCAGAAAGGCAATCCTGTGTCTGAAATATTAATGCACTGCAAGAGCACATACTCTATTTAACAAAATAAATGCTGTGCTAGAAAGCAAGGAGCTGGAATGTTCTGTTTCTGCTCCCAGCTCCCTGCATGAGATGCTGCAGGCATTTCCAGGATGGAGGAGTGGAAAGGATGTGCTTCAGCTGGAAATAAAGGCTGCACAGGGCTATCGTGTGTTGGGGCTCTGCTGATGTCAGTGATCATGGAAGGGAAGGTGACATTTGCTGGCCATGAGCTCTCTCCTATGATCTGCCACTGCTGCTGCTCACCTGTCACCTTGTGTCTTGCTTTGGTGGCAGTAATGTGTAAATCCTTCAGAGGATGAAGGAGGAAGGGTCATCCTACCTGTTGTTCCTGCGTCCTTCCCCAGCGCTGCTGGAATCTGCCCTGCCGTGGTGTTCACGGTGTTTGGTGGCTGCTCAGACGTTACGTTATCCTGCAGATTGTGCTGGTGTTTGGTAGGAGAAACCTTGGCTTGAGGAGAAAGAGCGTAATGAAATCATGTTTGTGTTGCAGAGATGACGAAGGTGCTGCTCTGTTCTTTGTGTGCACACAGAGGCTCCTGCAGATTCCTCGGCACCCAATTCGTGTGGTGGTCACAGCCCCAGTTAAAATGTGTTGAGGTGAATGTGGTCACACACTGTATGTGAGGGAGGTGGGTGGGTGCCAGTGTTTTAGGGCACGGGGCTTGTGCTGCCATCCTGCACAGAGCCCATATGGACACGCAGGACAGTGGCAGCTGCTGGATCACGTGTGCTGCAGAAACCAGTGGAGATGGGCTGGGACTTTACAAGGCTCTGTGTTACTGCTCTGTTGTCAACATTTATGGCTGAACATTACTTTTAATGCACTCCCAGTGTCGAAATCTATTGCTAAACAGCAGCAACAGCAGAGCTGCTGACGCCCTGTGCACAGCTCCCTTCCAGGGTACCTCTGTTGCTGGCTAAAAACAGCTGAAGTTCGAGGGTCCTTCCAGAGCAGCAGTAAAATGCTTGGGGAATGGGACCCCGGGGCCAGCAGTAATGGAGAGGGACGAGGGATGTCACACTGAGCCTGCGTGGAAGGAAAGCAG